GGTTGAGGGTTTAGGGTTTAGGGTTTAGGGTTTAGGGTTTAGGGTTCCTGGCAGGTGATAGACGGGCCTCTTTCAACCAACGGGTATGATGAGGGCAGCTTATGTCATTCTTATCTGCGGTAGGGATTGTAAAAAGGCTAACCAAACCACCAGCAGCCACGGGAGTGGTTTAGGGTTTAGGTTTAGGGTTTAGGGTTTAGGGTTTAGGGTTTAGGGTTGAGGGTTTAGGGTTTAGGGTTTAGGGTTTCGGGTTTAGGGTTTAGGGTTTAGGGTTTAGGGTTTAGGGTCTAGGGTACTAAACCCCAACCCCTCAATCCTAAACCCCGAACCCTGCGCCGTGCACAAGCCTCACCATAGCCTCGAAGATCTTCTAGGAAGGCTTGTGCCTTTCATGCTAAACCTCCCAAACCCTAAACCCTAAATCCTAAACCCTAAATCCTAGAACCCTAAACCCTAAACCCTGAAACCCTACAGCTCTAAACCCGAAGCCCCCAAATGGGTCGGTCTTGATCCAGGGCCGCAGCGCACGGACTCCCACTTGCCCGCGCGAGAATCATACCTGCTGCTTGGGTTTAGGGTTTACCCCGAACCCGAAACCTGCAAGCCGGAGCCCTAAACCCTAACCCCCCAAACCCAAAACCCCCAACCCCCCAAAATCGCGAGCCCCCCACACTCCCAAACCCCCAAACCCCAAAATACCCTAAAACCCGAACCCGCAAGCCACCCCTTAACCTTGCCAAAGGCGTTCGGTTTGAGGGTATCAGGTCCGAAACCCTCAAGCTGAGGTTTCGGGTTTGGGGTTAGTTCAGGTTAGGCTTAGGGTTTGGGGTTTAGGGTCAAGAAGCCCTAAAGCCCAAAAAACTAAGGAATGTGAAAATCACCCCCCCCCCCCCCCCCCCCCCCCCCCTGAGCTCCTGATAGTCCCCCCTTGCTAGCCTCATTTGTATAACCCCAAAACCCGAAACCCTAAACGCTAAACTATACTAAAGCTCCGAGTCCTAGAGCCTGTAGCCCCTCAACCCCTTAACCAACGAATACCCTTCACTCATAAAAATGAAAGGACTCCAAGAAGGCTTCCGGTACATTCCTTACCCTAAACCCTAAACCCTACAACCTAAACCCTAAACCCTAAACCCGGCGTATTCCTTCTTTCAGCCCGCTTGGATCTCCCTGAATTCGTCTGCTGTGTCAGGATTTTGTAGCCTGGGAACCCCTTGAATGGGTAGGGACTCAGAGTTGTAAGAGTTGCTGAGTAGGTTTAGGGTTTAGGGTTTAGGGTTTAGGGTTTAGGGTTTAGGGTTTAGGGTTTAGGGTTTAGGGTTTAGGGTTTAGGGTTTAGGGTTTAGGGTTTGGGGTTTAGGGTTTAGGGTTTGGGGTTTAGGGTTTAGGGTTTAGGGTTTAGGGTTTAGGGTTTAGAGCTCAGGGCTCAGGTTTTCGGGTTTAGCGTTCAGGGTTTAGGGTTTAGGGCCCCCCAATACCCCCTTTGCGTTGAGGAGCAGACCCGATTCTTAATAAGGACCCCTCGACGCTTTGGGGTAGATCCCTGCTCTGAATAAGGACCCTGAAGTAAACCTTCACAAGGACCCCGAAGTAGTTCTTAATAAGGATCCCGGAGCAGAGACCGGTGCCTCTCTACAGTTCGCTGGCGCGAGCCACTCGTGCCGCCCAGAACCTCAACGGTCTTCCACTCTCTGAGAGCAGGCTCCACCCCGAAACTTCCAGACCCTAAACCGGTTTAGGGTTGAGGGTTTAGGGTTTAGGGTTAGGGTTTAGGGTTAGGGTTTAGGGTTAGGGCTTAGGCTAAACCATCAGCAGTATTGTGCATAGCTGAAATACGGGCCTTAAACTCGAGACCCTAAGCCATGTTATGCATACCAGCGACCCAAAAGGGGACCCCGACGTGGAGATGACCTCGCCGTAGTGATAGCACGCTCAGGATGCTCGGCAAGATCATGCAAAAGCAGGGAAGGTGCTCTTGCGAACGCGGCTTTGGGTTTTGGGCTTAAACGGTTTTGGGAAGAGCTTCGGGTTTAGGGTCTAACTTTTTGGATGTAAGGTTTAAGCAGGACTTGCAATTGTCAAGTGTTTCGGGTCTTGCGAGTCTCAGGCTGCTTCATGGTTGGCATCCTGCCTCTCTTGCAGCCCTAAACCCCTGAACCCCTAAACCGCTAGCCCCTAAACCCCTAAGCCCTTAAACCCCGAAGCCCCTAAGCCCTTAAACCCTAAACCCTAACCCCTAAACCCCGAGCCAGGCCTTTGACCCCCGCATGAAGAGCTGGATAACCCTAAACCCTTAAAGCCCTTGAAGCCACCCTAAACCCTAAACCCTAAACCCTAAACCCTCCCAAGCACTTCTTTGGCTCCCGGGGCCCAAGCCCAGAGCTGGCCACCCAAAGCGGCTGCGGATGCCGAGGACCGAGGAACCTGGGCTCTTTTGGGGTTTAGGGTTTAGGGTTTAGGGTTTAGGGTTTGGGGTTTAGGGTTTAGGGTTTAGGGTTTGGGGTTTGGGGTTTAGGGTTTAGGGTTTAGGGTTTAGGGTTTGGGGTTTAGGGTTTAGGGTTTAGGGTTTAGGGTTTAGGGTTTGGGGTTTGGGGTTTGGGGTTTGGGGTTTAGGGTTTAGGGTTTAGGGTTTAGGGTTTGGGGTTTGGGGTTTGGGGTTTGGGGTTTGGGGTTTGGGGTTAAGGGTTTCGGGTCTAGGGTTTGGGGCTGGAAGCTTTGTCGGGGCTTTCGGGCTTTCGGGAGGCTTTCAGCTTTGAGTTCTGCACGTTATCTTGGTAGTCCTGTGACCATACTATAGTAATAAGCGCACCCTTTTTCAGGTTGGTTACTTCTTTAAGGGAACATTGAACCAAAGAAAAGGCAACAGAAATGGGCAAACGGCGCCACTGGGCCAAGTTATCAGGAGCACGTGCGCAAAACTAAGGCGAGGAGCGCGAGCTGGAGCGCGTGTTATGGGACTCTGCGGCAAGAAGCGCGATCCGGTGCAAAAGCGTCGCCAACCCCGAAACCCGAAAACCCCGAAACCCTAAACCCTAAACCCCGAAACCCCTAAACCCCTAAACCCTAAACCTGCATGGGACAAAAACGAAGCGAACCAAGAGCCCGAGAGGCCGGAAAGTGGGTTTCGGGTTTAGGGTTCAGGGTTTAGGGTTTAGGGTCTAGGGTTTCGGGTTTAGGGTTTAGGGTTTAGGGAGAAAGCCCCGCACCCTGAACCCTAAACCTAAGAGGATCTGCCCCTATCCGAAAAACCCCGAAACACCACTTACTTGGAGGTTAAAGGCAGCTATAAGTAGAGTATTAATAATAAGTACCCTAACTGGAAAAATAGGTGCCCCAAACCCTAAACCCCCAACCGTGAACCCTAAACCCCTAAGCCCTGAACCTTAAACCCCTAAACCCTAAACCCTAAACCCTAAACCCGAAACCCTAAACCCTAAACCCTAAACCCTAAACCCAGACCCTACTGTGGCCGAGGAGCCCCCATCGGCTCCAGGGGCATCCAGCTCTTCATGCGGGGGTCAAAGGCCTGGCTCGGGGTTTAGGGGTTAGGGTTTGGGGTTTAGGGTTTACGGGTTACGGGTTTAGGGTTTAGGGTTTAGGGTTTAGGGTTTGGGGTTTGGGGTTTGGGGTTTAGGGGTTAGGGTTTGGGGGTTTAGGGTTTGGGGGTTTAGGGTTTAGGGGTTTAGCGTTTAGGGTTTAGGGTTTGGGGTTTAGGGGTCTAGGGTTTAGGGGTTTAGGGTTTACGGGTTTAGGGGTTTAGGGGTCTAGGGTTTAGATGGGTTTGGGGGTTTCGGGGTTCAGGGTTAGGGGTTTGGGGCTTGGGAGGTTAGACTAGTGCTTAGGGGGCTGAGGGCCCGCGGGTTCAAAACTGAGGGGTCTGAGGGGTTTCTGAAGGATGTCCTAGCTTTCAGTTCAGGTTTCGGGGTTAGGTCTTTGGGAGGGAAGGGGGGGGAGGGTCCTAAACCCTAAGACCCTACAATTTGGGTGTTGGGCTTAGGGCTTAGGGTGGAGGGCGTTCACGCCAGGGTCGGGGGGGGAGAATTAAGGAACGGGCTTTGGGGGGGGCTTCCTGAACTTAAGGAAGATGGCTGAGTTTATCACAAGGAACCCCTCTATGATTCACGGTCTGCTTCTAAAATTCGCGGGGTATGGGGCTCGCAGGGGCTTTCCAGAACGTGCTCGGATGCCTCGGGGGGGCACCAGGAGTCTGGTCACCCGAAGCTCGGCTGAGGGCGCATACACTTGGACTGAGGCACAGCGCGCCACCCAGCTTAAACTTGTTACCGAAACCCTAAACCCTAAACCCTAAACCCTAAACCCTAAATTGTTAACTGCCCGTTGGAATTTTAAGCGTCTTTTTTAAGCAAGACCCGAAGGGTAAGCGTGGTGTTGACAGTCTCGACTTTAGGGCTAAGGGCTCAGTAAGTCGCAACATGCCCAATATAGTTCTTACGTGAGCAATCTACCACAACTCATATGGAAGACCCCAAACCCTAAACCCTAAACCCTAAACCCCAAACCCCAAACCGAAACCCTAAACCCTATGCGTTCAGGCATCTTCCTCCAGCTACAGCATGTCAGGCCCCTTCGGCAGTGGGTTGGGGTTTAGGCCGTATTTTGACTTCGGCTGGCGATCGCGTTGCACGGGAGTCTCATGCCCTGCCCCGCAGTTACACCACCACCGTTCAGGGCTTTGGGCTTAGGCTTTGGGCTTTGCAGTAGCTTGGGACAAGACATGAGACATCCCGCCAGTCGGCCATATCCTCGTTTGAGGGGCGGGCTCCACACATCCGAGCTCGTGAAGAGCTGCAGACTGCAACGACTGGGCATGCTGAATTTGCATGAAGCAAAGTCTTCATTCCAAGCATCCCGTAAAAGGATGCCCCATGCACACGTACGTTCCCTCAACGGTGTCCTTAAGTCAGCATGAAGCCAAGTTTGGGTTTAAAATTTTAGGCGTAATTGAGGGCATGGTTCAAGGTTTAGTGCTTCGTGTTCCCTCACATTACGCGGTCGTAGAGCATGATGTACTCCGGATAGACGCACTCCTCATCGAAGACCACAAACTCGCGGTACGTGCCGACCGACGCCTCCCGGTCGGCCAGCACAGAGTCATACCTGCCACGCAGCAATTTTTTGGGGTTGAGAGCCCAGCTCTATCGTTTAGGGTTTAGGGCTTAGGGTTTAGGGTTTAGCTCTATCGTTTAGGGTTTAGGGCTTAGGGTTTAGGGTTTCGGGTTCCCCAACCCGAATCCATCAGAACACGTCAGTCCGACCTGCCGCTGTGCAGCGCATCCGAGAGTGCCAGCGGGGCCCTGTCCGTGATGCGGAACATCTCTCCGCACACAACCCGACACCTCGGAAGCAACGTCTGTCCTAAACCCCCCCCCCCCCCATAAAGCCCCCAAAATCGTCAGAGGTTCGAAGGCTTACGGTTTAGGGTTCAGGCTAAACCTAAACCCTCAACGGTCAACCCTATACCCCCTCCGACCCCAAGAGGCACAGCAGCATCACGAAGTGGCCGTCGTCGTCGGCCTGCGCATACTCATCCGACTTCGAGGAGGACTCGGCGAAGTAGCAGCCGCGCCCGAAGGCCGTGCCGGCGTTCATGCCCGCCTTCAGGGCTGCGCGGCTTCACGGCTTCGAGCTTAGGACCTTGCACCCTCCAACCCTGAATCTTAGGAACGGGGGCCACACCCTGACACCCTAACCCCAAGACATGCTTGGTCGCAAGGAAGCAGACTTCGGGCGAAGGGTTTGGGGTCTCAGGACCCCAGCCCACCATAATGCGCCGGAAGCCTTGCGCCGAGATGGCCTTCGCCTCAGCATGAATCAGGGTGCAGAGTTTAGGGTTTTATGGGGTTGAGCATCTGGGATTTAGGTGTTGGGGTTTACGGGTAACTTCCAACCGCTGCCCTGGTCGCCCCAAGAGGGCTGGTGCCATGGAAGAGGTAGAACTCCGCCAAGTTCTGCTTCAGGCGCCCCGTGAGCTCTCCCAGGGCCTGGCGAGATGTTGAAGTCGAGGGCCAGGGACGGGGTTTAGGCTGTAGGGTGTAGGGCGTAGGGTTTAGGGTTTAGGGTTTAGGGTTGAGGGTTGAGGGTTGAGGGTTGAGGGTTGAGGGTTGAGGGTTGAGGGTTTAGGGTTTAGGGTTTAGGGCAGCGGTGTTTTGGGTGCAGGGCTTTGGGCTTTGGGCTTGTTATGCTTCACTGCTTGAAGGCCTGGGGTCCAGGGTTTCGTGGCTTAGGGTTTATGGTTAAGGCTGTAGGCGGGCTTTGCTTGGAGGTTCATGGTACCTACTAACCACTTATAACTGTACTTATAACCCTACTTATACTTGGGATAACCCCTATAAGGCCCTTTAGGGGCATTATAAGTGGGGTTATAAGTACAGTTATAAGCGGTTAGTAAGTACCATGAACCTCCAAGTGGTGTTTTGTGCTTCACGTGATTTAGTGCTTTGTGCTTCACTGCTTGAAGGTCTATGACTAGGGGTTTAGGTGTTTGGGATGTGGAGATGTGGGAACCCTAAACGTAAGCCCCCAGCTCGAGGAAATTTTGGGGGTCCAAGGGCCTGTGAAGTCCGCACATGACCATGCTCCGGATCTCCATCCAAATCCTCGGGCGCCATTTAGGGTTTCGGGTTTAGGGTTTAGGGTTTAGGGTTTAGGGTTTAGGGTTTAGGGTTTAGGGTTTAGGGTTTAGGGTTTAGGGTTTAGGGTTTGCAAGCCCTCTATCGAAGACCTTCCCAACCCTCACCCACCAACAAGAACGCACAGTTGGAGCTTTCGAACAGCCCGGATCCCTCTCAGCACCCAAACCCCTGAGCCCCAAATCCTACGTACACCCTTAAACCCTAAACCCTAAACCCGAAACTCCTATAGAACCCGAAACTCAGAACCCCTAGAACCCTAAACCCCTGCCCTAGAAGCCTAAACCCCTGGAACGCTAAACCCTAAACCCCTAAACCTCTAAACCGCGGGGGACAGGGATCCTGGATGGGAGTGCAGCCGCCCGGTCGGCGCTTCTCCAGGGCAGCGGATGCATTCAGGTAGCGGGCCTGAAGGGGTGCGGGTTTAGGGTTGAGGGTTTAGGGGGTTTAGGGTTTAAGAGGGTTTAGGCTTCAGGGCCTGAAGGGGTCGTGACCCTTCAACCTTAAACCCGCACTCCCAAACCCTAGGGTTTCGGGACTAGGGAGAACCGATGGAAACTCCTAACAACATCTGTGTGCTGGCTTAAGGGTGGAAGGGTTTTTGAGGGGTTTTGGGGTTAAGGGCTTAGGGCCTGAATACTTAGAATAGGGTTTTGGGGTCAGTATAGTACAACTACAAAGGGACCATAAGGGAAGACTATTACCCAAAACCCTAAACCCTAAACCCGAAATCATAAACCCTAAACCCTAAACCCATGCCGACCCCCATATTAGGGGTCTTAGGGGTCTTGGGGGGTTGGGGTCTTGTGCGATTGGCACTTGCGGCGCGCGAAGTCTTGTAGTCTAAGCCCGAATCCCTAAACCCTAAGCTGCAAGCCCTAAACCCTAAACCCTAGACCCTAAACCCTAAACCCTAAACCCTGGACCCTAAAGCCTAGAAGCAAGCCTCCCTTGCGAACGACCCGAAACTTCCACAAACTTCCACAAACTTGAACCCTTCCCTACGAAGGCACTTGCGCTTTAGACCCCCAAGCTTCCAGGGAGACCCTAACCGCAAACACCAAACCCAAAACCATAAAGCCTAAATCCAGGGTTCAGGGCTTAGGGTCTAAGGGTTAAGAGTAAAGGGTAAAAGTAAACGGGTAAAGGGCAAAGGGCAAAGGGTAAAGGGTAAAGGGTTTAGGGTTTAGGGTTTAGGGTTTAGGGTTTAGGGTTTAGGGCTCCCTAAGCCACAGCCCGCGGGCCCAGATGGCTGAGTTCTCGATCCGCACCACACTCTTTAGCCGCAGGCTCTGTGGTACTGGGCCAGCCCTGTCCTAGCCAGGGTTTAGGGTTTAGGGTTTAGGGTTTAGGGTTTAGGGTTTAGGGTTTAGGGTTTAGGTTTAGGGTTTAGGGTTTAGGGTTTAGGGTTTAGGGTTTAGGGTTTAGGGTTTAGGGTTTAGGGTTTAGGGTTTAGGGTTTGGGGTTTGGGGTTTGGGGTTTGGGGTTTGGGGTTTGGGAGCTGCACGCAACGACTCGGGGTCTGTGGTTCGGGGCTCCATAAATTGGGGCAGGGCGGAGTTGATCTGAAATATGGGGCCTTGTGGTACACTGACCTACTATTTGCTTAAGAACCCCCCAAAAACAGAAAACAATACTCCCCTTATGACCCTTATAGGGAAGAATATTCTTGTTTTTTGGAGGTTCTTAAGCAACAGTAGTGACCTGTCAGGAATTTTCCTAAACCCGAACCCCCCAAGCCCTAAACCAAGGGATGCAGAGTTTTTTGGGTTTTTGGGGGCTTGGGTCCTCTGGGGTTGGGATTTATACGTGAAGGGTGCGGGGTGGGGGCGGGGGGCGGGGGGGATCCACCCCAACCGCTCCAAAGACCCTAAAATGTAGGCGTCACAACCCCCCACCCTAAGAGGCTTAGACTGAGTACTCCACGGCCCCAGAACAATCAACGTAAGGGCTTATTGATGGGGGTAATTGCTATGTTCACAATCATCATTTAGTGATAAGGGCGGGGGGATATATCCAACCCTTTAGCAAAACCCTACCTACTTGGAGGTTCATGGGTACTTTTAACCACAGCTCTAAGTCTACTTACAACCTACTTAGGGGACTTAGGGGGAATTACAAGTGCAGTTCTAATTAGGGTGATAAGTAACCCTAAACCCTAAACCCTAAACCCTAAACCCTAAACCCTAAACCCTGAACCTCCAAGTAGGAGTCATGGGCTGGGTCGGTCCCGCGTGCGAACGCCCTTGAAGGTGCGGTCCAGGGCGTCCTGCAGGTTGCGCAGGAGATCCGCCGAGCCCTCGGCGATCCTGGAAGAGAAAAAAACCTAGGGGTCTTCGGGGTTTAGGGTTTAGGGTTTAGGGTTTGGGGTTTGGGGTTTGGGGTTTGGGGTTTAGGGTTAGGGTTTAGGGTTTAGGGTTGGGGTGTAGGAGCCTTGGGGTTTAGGAGCCTTCGGGTTTAGGGCTTAGAGTCTAATTTCGGCCGGTAGCTTACTTGAGAAAAACCCAAGGTCTTCCTGATGTTGACGTGTAGATGTTAGCGCACTTCTACAGGTTTGGGGGTATAAGCCCAACTTAGGGTTTGCAAAAGCTTCGGGTTTTATACGCGGCTTAGGTTTCTAGGTTTTGCGGGGGCTGGGGATAATTAGGTCTTGGGAAGTGGCTAAAAAATTTTTTCTAAAAAATTTTAAAAATTTTTTTCAAATTTTTTTAAAATTTTGTAGAAAAAGGCCTTGCTAACCTTGTCCAAGCATCTGCTCAAAGGTGGCCGGGTCCTGCCACCCCAAACCCAAAGAACCCCGAGGCATTGAAATCAGGCCGCGCCGGCCACCCTACACCCTTAAACCCTAAACCCTAAACCCTAAACCCTAAACCCTAAACCCTAAACCCTAAACCCTAAACCCTAAACCTTAGCCCGGACTCCCAAGCATGGCCTCCGACTGGTTTGTCCAGTAGGGCGGCGCGGTGTAGGGCACCACAATCTTCTCCTCTGAGAGCAGCGCGCGGGAGACGGCCCCGCCCCATTTCTTTGCCGCGGCCTCACTCTGCTCCGTGACCTGCCAAAGGAGAGCTCAACCGCTGCTTGGAGGTTCGAGGGTAGCCAGAAGTAGGAGCATGATAACTAGACTTATAACCCTGTTGAGGGTGTTACCCATGAACCTCCCAGTCAAGAATATGCCTGAACCCTATATACAGCAGGGAGCCTTATTGCGAACGGGGCGAAAGGCCACCCCCCCAAAGCCACCTTCCTTGAAGGGTTTCTGGGGCTTCCAGTGACCTCAGCTCCTGCTGCTCTCAAGAGCATGATCATTGGGACGCTACCGCGGCTGACAGCCATGAGCAAGGCATCGTAGATGTCCTCGGAGTTGGGTCGCTTGACGCGCATCCTGGGTTGCTTTGAAAGGGCTTAGGGTTCAGGGTTTAGGGTTTAGGGTTTCGGGTTTAGGGTTTAGGGCTGCAGGAAACCTTCTTGCGTAGCCTATATTCCATGAAGTGAAAGCTCCTCAACAGCAAGCCAGCATCTGCGCCCCCTCCCCCAGAAGGTACTGCACCGTTGCCACCTGCTGGGGCTCCATCCTCGCGTAGTTGTCTTGGGAGTACGACTTGCAGGCCCAATGCAGAGCCGCCCCACCATTTGCCTTAGGGGATTTTGGGGTCCTGTTTAAGAAAATCTATGGGCAGTATACACTGGGATTGAAAGCCTTTTCGAACTTCTGCATTTGTAAATAAAGGGCTTAGGGTTTCGGGGCTACGGTTTCCAATGTGGGGGGGGTTTCCGAAATTAGGGGTACCTTATTGAATCATTGGGTCCTTGTTATAAGGGAATCCCACTATTTGGAGGTCTATTTTCGGGGTCCCCTATTTTCGTCAACCCCCATGTAGTTCAATTCAGCCCCAGTTGCCAGGTAATCGATCTCCGAGCCTGCCGCCACCAAGGCCCTCACGACCTCATGGTGCCCATACTTGCATGCCTTGGTACCCTTTGTCTTGGGGTTTAGGGTTTAGGGCTTAGGGTTTAGGGTTTAGGGCTTGATAAGGAAAAACTTGAACCAAAAAACAAGGGGTAAAAAGGGTACCACTGGACTACCAAGATGCCAAGACCAAGCCTGTCTCGTTGAAGCGGAAGGAGCCAGACCTCGGGTGGATCTGGAGTTACAGATCTGCTGGGATCATGGCCGCCATCCTAAACCCTGAAGCCAAAAACCCTAAACCCTAAACCCTAAACCCTGAACCCTAAGCGCACCCTAAACCCCAAACCTTAAAACGCAAAACGTCTTCCAAATTATCAAAACCCCAGAGACAGGCACCAGAAATCTCGAGCACCCCCACCGAGCAATTCGGTCACGGCTTCCACCTTGCCGTACTTACCTCGGTTGCCCAGCCACCGAGCAGCTATAAGGGTTTAGGCTTTAGGGTTTGGGGTTTAGGGCCCTTCTTTCCTAAACCCTAAACCCTAAACCCTAAGCCCTAAGCCCTAAACCCTAAACCCTAAACCCTAAACCCCAAACCCTAAACCAAAACCCTCACTAGAGGGCCTAAAGGGTGTGCTACTGGGCATCCTCGTGGCAGAAGGTGCGGAAGTTTGAGTGCAGCTCCTGGCAGTTTCAGCAATGTTCGGGTTTAGTTTGGTTTAGGGTTTAGGGTTTAGGGTTTAGGGTTTAGGGTTTAGGGTTTAGGGTTTAGGGTTTAGGGTTTAGGGTTTAGGGTTTAGGGTTCAGGGTTCAGGGTTTAGGGTTTAGGGTTTAGGGTTTAGGGGTTAGGGGTTAGGGGTTAGGGTTAGGGTTTCGGACTTGGGGTTTGCTAAGGATGCCTAAATGCTTTAAGCATCAACTCCTTGCTTGAGGGGTTTGGGGGATGTCTGGGTAAGGACATCGAATATAAGCTACCGTCATATGGATGTAGAGTCGAGACGTGGCTTCCTCGTTCCCTGAACCCTAAACCCTAAACCCTAAACCCTAAACCCTAAACCCTAAACCCTACACCCTAAACCCTAAACCCTAAACCCTAAACCCTAAAGCCCAAGCCCTGTAGTTGAGTTTGCAGTTCCACACAGCATCCCAGGCTCCTCCGCCGATGCCCAGGATGTGTGGATCTTGGGTGGCTTGCCGAAGCCTCGTTTCAGGGCTTCGGGCTCAGGGCACCCTAAACCCTCAAACCCTAAACCCTCAAACCCCTAACCCTCAAAACCTCAAACCCTGAACCCTAAACCCTGAACCCTAAACTCTAAATCCGAAAATTGGGAGAAGGGCTCTCTCTCTCTCTCTCTCCGTGATTTCGGGTCTGGGGACGAAGCTTCAGGGGTCTGGCGTCTAGGCATTCAGGGTTTAGGGTTTAGGGTTTAGGGTTTATGAGGGCTTAGGGCTTAGGGCTTAGGGTTGAGGGTTTAGGGTTTATAAGGGCTTAGGGTGCAGGTTTGAGGGTTCAGGGTTTATACGGGCTTTGGGCTTAGGGTGTAGGGTTTTGGGGTCTAGGGTCTGGGCTCTAGGCTTTAGGATCTATAATGTAAAACCTACCAAAACCCAACATAGCTTGTCGGGCTAGATGGGCCCAAAGCCTGAATCCGACATACCAATTCGGATGACAACAACATGGGCGGGTAACCCCCAACATCCCTGCATGCGCAGCGCTGCTCATTGCGCAGCTCTCCCTAAACCCTAAACCCTAAACCCCAAACCCTAAACCCTAAACCCTAAACCCTAAACCCCAAACCCTAAACCCTAAACCCTAACCCTAAACCCTAAACTGCTTGTCCTGCAGCCGCCATCTTCTCCAGGCTCTCGGCCAGGTCGTCCATCCCAGCCAGGAGCTTCTTCATGTCCGCCTCTGCCTCGAGTAAAGAAGTACCCTAGATGGGTTTAGGGTTTAGGGCTTGGGGTTTAGGGTTTTAGGGTTTAGGGTTTTGGGTTTTAGGGTTTTAGGGTTTTTGGGTTTTTGGGTTTTAGGGTTTTAGGGTTTTAGGGTTTTAGGGTTTAGGGTTTAGGGTTTAGGGCTTAGGGCTTAGGGCTTAGGGCTTAGGGCTTAGGGCTTAGGGTTTGGGGTTTAGGGTTTAGGGTTTAGGATTTAGGGTTTAGGGTTTAGGGTTTAGGGTTTGAGTTTAGGGTTTAGGATTTAGGGTTTACAGTTGGGGTTTCCGAAAATAGGGGTTCCCTTCTTGGGGTCCGCATTATACTATTTGGGGGGGGGTCTAAATTTGGGGTCCATTATTATCGTAAACTCCCAGATAGCGCTACAAAGTATACTTCTCACGCTGAGAACCCCTACTTATAACTACCTCCAAAGTATGAGTTGCCCAGGGCTCAGGGATTGTTACATTCTTGGGGGGAGGTTTAGAGCACAAGCGCTAGGGAGTACCCTAAGCCCAAACCCTAAACCCTAAACCCTAGACCCTGGACCCTAGACCCTAAACCCTAAACCCTAAACCCTAAACCCTAAACCCTAAACCCTAAACCCTGCTGACCCAAAAGACTACACACCACATGCGGCAGCCTCCGGAGGTGGCGAAGTCGCATCCGGCAGGCGTTGGGTTTTGCCCTGATTTAGGGTTGAGGGTTTGGGGTTTAGGGTTTAGGGTCCACCCTACACCCTAAATGCAAGTAGGGTTACATTATAAGTACCCTACATTGGGTTACAAGTATAGTTATCACAGTTATATACTTCTAACTAGCCAACCATGAACCTCCAAGTAGGGTTTATCTTAGGGTTCAGGGTACAAAAGAATCACTACCAAAGCTCGCACGAAACCCGACAATGAAGTGTGTTTTTTTCGGGCCTCAGCCCTAAGCCCTAAGCCCCAGACCCTTGGCCCAACGCCTAAAACACCCATCCCGAGAGCCCCGAATACCCCTTAGTGAGCGCATGCAACTGCATTCATTCATCTTCAAGACCGTGATCTTGAGAAGCACCAAATGAGCGCCTAATCCCTCCCTCCCCCCCCCCCCTCTCCGCAAAGTCCGGGTCCTTGTGACCATCACCAGAATACGCTGCTTTGGCCGCAACACCGCAGGCACATCCCATGGCCGTAGAATGCGATCCTTTTGAGAATACGTAAAAGCCGTGAACAGCATAACATGGTAATCATCGAAGAGTGTGCTGCTGGAATCACCATCGCGGCACTGCTCTTTGTTTGCTTTTGCTTGGTTGCACTTGTCTGTAGTCGCAACATTTTATCTGTTACTGTTGTTGCCAACCCCTTGTGGCCAAACGCGACAAGACGTGACAATCCATACAGGTACCTGTTGCGCATGTATGTGTATAGCATATATATATATATACACACACACCCATATAACCCTTTCATGGCCTTATAGCCGGGGGCAGCCACACCGGAATGACCTTTTCATGGGCTATATGGTAGGCACGTGGCCACACTTGGGAGTTTCAGAATATCACGGCTTCTCCTGGGATTAGGGTGTAGGGTTTAGCTTTAAGGCTTATTTTACTTTCTTGGTCCAGGAGCGTCCTGGACCAGGACCCCCCCTTCCCGAGTAGGGGTTTAGGGTTTATAGGGGTTTAGGGTTTAGGGTTTAGGGTTTAGGGTTTAGGGTTTAGGGTTTAGGGGTGTAGGGCTTAGGGTCGCAACCTTGGACAACCCAGCTGGTACAGTTGGCATCGACTCACACCCCAGACCTGCAACGGGGTTTAGGGTTTAAGGTTAAGAAGTTAGGCTAGGGTTTAGAGTGCAGGGTTCGTGTTCAGATTTGCAGGAACCTGCGGTTTAGGTTCAGGGTTTAGGGTATGGAAGTTACTTTACCAAAGTCCTCCAAAGGAAACGGCTCTGGAACAGACCTTGAACTGTGTAGGGATCCTCACCTTGAATTCAGGTATATTCCTTACTTACGGGGAATGATAGGGCTTCCTGGTAAGGGCCGATGATCCTGCAATTTCGGGTTTAGGGTTTAGGGTGGGTCGCACTAGAAAATCCACGTGTGAGACATCCCACAAGTTGGCCGCATCCTCGCTTGAGGGACGGGCTCCACATTGGGCTGGTGAAGAGCTCATGGGGGAACCTAGGGAAGAGCTGAGGGCTGCACGGTGGCAGGCTGAATTTACATTGGTCCTTCTCCTATCATCCATCCACGAAAGGACTCACTCCTCATTGGGGGTTTCCGAAATTAGGGTACCTTTGTTGGGGTCCTTGTTTCAAGGGAATCCTCATATTAGGGATCCCTTCTTTTCGCAAGCCCCCATAATCCCCATATGTACATATACACTCGCCAAAATCACACCGCCGCACTACACAAACTCTTCGAATCAACCCCATCTCACATTACACGGTCATAGAGCATGATGTACTCCGGATAGACGCACTCCTCATCGAAGACCACAAACTCGCGGTACGTGCCCACCGACGCCTCCCGGTCTGCCAGCACGGAGTCATACCTGCCACCCAGCTCTATCGTTCAGGGTTTAGGGCTTAGGGTTTAGGCTTTAGGCTTCGGGGTGTAGGGTTCCCCACCCTAAAACAAAAAATTGCACCTCAAATCAATCAGAGCATGCCCGACCTGCCACTGTGCAGCGCATCCGAGAGTGCCAGCGGGGCCCTGTCCGTGATGCGGAACATCTCTCCGCACACTACCCGACACCTCGGAAGCGGCGCGTATCCTAAACCCACCATAAAGCCCCCAAAAATCCTCAGAGGTTCGACGGCTTACGCTTGAGGGTTCGACACCTCGGAAGCAACGTCTGTCTTAAACACCTCCCGGAAAGCCTCGAGGTTCGAAGGCTTGCGGTTTAGGGTTCGGTTTAGGGTAAACCCCAAACCCTAAACCCTCAACGACCAACCCTGTCACCCTTTCTCGACCCCAAGAGGCACAGCAGCATCACGAAGTGGCCGTCGTCGTCGGCCTGCGCATACTCATCCGATTTCGAGGAGGACTCGGCGAAGTAGCAGCCGCGCCCGAAGGCCGTGCCGGCGTTCATGCCTGCCTTCAGGGCTTCACGGCTTTAAAGCTTATGACCTTGCACCCTCCAACCCTAAAACTCAGGAAAGGGGACTACACCCTGACACCCTAAGCCCCAAGACACACTTGGCCGCAAGGGAGGCAAACTTCGGGCGAAGGGTATGGGGTCTCAGGGCCCCGAGCTCACCATAATGCGCCGGAAGCCCTGCGCCGAGATGGCCTTCGCCTCAGCAGGAAGCAACCACACGAGCTCAGGGTGTGGGGGTTAGGGGTTTAGGGGTTTAGGGGTTTAGGGGTTTAGGGTTTAGGGTTTAGGGTTTAGGGTTTGGGGTTTAGGGTTTAGGGTTTAGGGTTTCTGGGGTTTCTGGTTAGGGGTTGGGGTTTTAGGGATACTTCCAAGTGCTGCCCTGGTTGCCCCAAGAGGGCTGGTCCCGTGGAAGAGGTAGAATTCCGCCAAATTCTGCTTCAGGCGCCCCGTGAGCTCGCCCAGGACCTTGCAGGATGTTGGAGTCTGAGGTTTCTTTGTAAAGCTTCGCTGCTTGGTCTAGGGTTGAAGAGTTTTGGGTTTTGGGGTTTTGGGGTTTAGGGTTTCGGGTTTAGGGTTTAGGGATTAAGGTTTAGGGTTTAGGGTGCTTGGGGTGTTTGGGCGGTGTTTGGGGTGTTTGGGGTGTTTGGGGTGCTTGGGGTGCGGGATGTGGGAATTTAGGGGCCAAAGAGCCTGCGAAGTTCGGACGAAACCGTGCTCGGGAACTCCATCCAGGTCCTTGGCCGCGGCTTCCATGTGCACACCCTAAACTCAAACCCTAAACCCTAAACCCTGAAATCCCAAAACCCTTAAACCCTGAACCCTAAAACCTAAACCCTAAACCCTAAACCCAAACCCAGAAAGATAGCCGAACCCTCATAAACCCTAAACCTACGGCCCAATGCGATGAGGACTGAACTGCTTCTTTCCCACAAGACCGTCCTACACAACCTTCCCAACCCTCCTTCTAACCCCTAAATCCTAAACCCAGCAACCCGAAACCCTCCGAAAGCCCGTGCCCCTAAACCTTCAACCTGAACCCCCAAACCTTAAGCCCTTAATCCCTAGCCCCAGGGCTTAAACGCCCAACAATTCCCTCAGCCCTAAACCTCCCATCTACACGGGGCTACCTGTCCTGGATGCCCCTATCAAACCCTTAGAACCTTAAACCCCTGCCCTAGAGCCCAAAACCCCTGGAACCCTAAACCCGAAATCCTAAACCCTAGGCCCTAAACCCCACACCCGAAACCCAAAACCCGAAACCCTAAACCCTAAACCCTAGGGTTTAGGCGACAGAGGTCCTGGATGGGAGTGCAGCCACCCGGCCGGCGCTTCTCCACCGCGGCGGCTGCGCTCAGGTAGCGGGCCTGGAAATGGGTTTAGGGTTTAGGGTTTAGGGTTTGGGGTTTAGGGTTTAGGGTTTCGGGTTTAAAGGGTATTATAAGTGGGGTTATCAGTACAGTTATAATTGGTTTGTAAGTACCATGAACCTCCAAGTAGGTGTTCCAAGTGTGGGCCCGCGGTTTAAGTCCCTTGTTAGATGCCCCTTATACGCACTTTCAATGCATATAACATAATGGTAATACTAATAATAATAATGACGATGATAATAATGATAACAATAAGAATGAAATCAGAATAATGATGCTGAATCATGATAACAATAACCATCCTGATCTAATAAGAATAATAAGAAAACAACAATAACAATAAAAAGAATAATGATAATGATGATGACAATGATAATGATAAGGATACTGATAGTGAAATAAAAATACTACGAATGAGAATGATAATGGTAGGGAGGATAAGGGTCAGTGCCAGTGCTTAGGGTTACGGGTTGGATTGGTTTGTGTTGGAGAGTCAGGGTTCCCTCAGCCCTATGTCTCACACTCTTTCGTAACCCGCACCCAGACAGCCGAGTTCTCAATCCGCATCACGCGCTTTAGACGAAGGCCCTGCGGTACTCGACCAGCCCGGTCCTAGCCAGGGTTTTTAGGGTTTAGGGTTTAGGGTTCGGGGTTTAGGGTTTAGGATTTGAGGTTTAGGGGCTGTGCACCGGCAAGGCGGGGGGGACTTCGGACTTAGTAAGTAGTTCTTTAAGTGAGGAAAAAAGGTAGGATCACCCCTAAGTATCTCGATCCTCCAAGCAAGGGGCTATTTTTGGGGCTTCCGAAGATTGAGGTTTTGGGGTTCCTTTCTAGGCTTAACACAGGGACCCGTACTGTTTGGCTCTCCACCCTTCACTACAATTCTACACAAGGGCCTATGTCTAGCTTCTTCCACAGTTGCGATTATCACTACTGCTTTTGTGTCAGGGGAACATGTCAACCCGAAACCCGAAACCCGAAACCCTCGACCCACAACCCCGAACCGCTTAGGCGCTGTGGGAGCCAGTCCCGCGTGCGGATTCCTTTGAAGGTGCGGTCCAGGGCGTCCTGCAGGGTGCGAAGGAGCCCGGCACCTTCTTCGATCCTGGGAGAAGGAGGGTTTTAGGGTTAGGGCTCAAAGGTTTAGGGTGCGGGGGTTTAGGGGTTTGGGTAGCCGGGGCTCGGGCTTAGAGGTAAGGGTTTAGCGGTTTAGGGGTTAGGGTTTGTGGCTTTGAGATTTTAGTGGTTTGTAGAGGTCTCGAGGTTCAGGGTTTAAAGTTTCTTGATTTCTAGGAGTATAAACTTTGGTTCACGAATTGGGCAGTTCTGTAACTGTGGGTTGCCTTTTGGGTTACAGTTGAAGGTTCAGGGTATGAAGCGCGGTTTAGGTATTAGCAGTTAGGGTTAAGGATTTAGGGTTCATGGTATTCCCTCGAGGCACATGGACATCCCAGCTGCCAATAGATGCAATATACAGCTGTAGGAATAACAGAGAAGGCTCATGTTCGTTGCTTGGAGGTTCATGTGGGTAGCGAAAAGTAGGTTTATAAGTACCCTAAATGGAATCAAATGTAGTCCTACCATACTTACACTACTTATAACTACCGAACCTCCAAGTATTGTGAACTGAGATATTCCCTAACTTTGAGGATGGTGGATTCCGTGCGTCTCCTCCAAGGACAAAGGGGCACGCAGAATCCAGGTTCATGAAAGGCTTGTGATTTAGGAATTGGGGTTTAGGGTTTAGGGTTGAGGGTTTAGGGTTTAGGGTTTAGGGCTTAGGGTTTAGGGTTTAGGGGCTTCAGCTAACCTCGTCCAAGCAACTGCTCGAAGGTGGCCGGGTCCTGCACAAGGGACAGCAACGTCCGGCCCCCCAACCACGCAAAGACAAAACCAGACATTCAACCCCAAACCCTGAACCTGCCCAAAGTGAAGGGGGGTTAGGGAAAAGGGTTTAGGGTTTAGGGTTTAGGGTTTAGGGTTTAGGATTTAGGGTTTAGGGTTTAGGGTTTAGGGTTTAGGGTTTAGGGTTTAGGGTTTAGGGTTTAGGATTTAGGGTTTAGGGTTTAGGGTTTAGGGTTTAGGGTTTAGGGTTTAGGGTTTAGGGTAATGAAGGGACCCTGAAAACAGAATTCAGGAGGCCTCCGACTGGTGCGTCCAGTAGGGCGGCGCGGTGTAGGGCACCGCAATCTTCTCCTCTGAGAGCAGCGCACGGGAGACGGCCCCGCCCCATTGCTTTGCCGCGGCCTCACTCTGCTCCGTGACCTGCCAAAGAGAGCTAGACACCTAAGGAATGTCGCCTTAAACTAATCCGTCACTAAGGGCTGTTCCGCTCCAACACCCCGAAATTTAGGAATATTCCTTAAACCATACTCGGAACCCTCTTGTATTTTAAGGAGTCTTCCTTAATCCATGGGTATCGGAGTCCTGGGCATGTAAACGCCAGCCCTTTTTTATTTAGGGTGATTTTGGGGTCGGAAAAATTACTAATACTATTCCCTTAGAGTCCCTTTATAATAACCCCAAAACCCTATTCTGATTCTCCGGGCCCCTATATTTTGGGTCTCGCTGCCCACCTCAGCCCCAGCTGCCCTCAAGAGCATGATCATTGGGACGCTACCGCGGGTGACCGCCATGAGCAAGGCGTCGAAGACTTCCTCCGAGTCGGGCTGCTTGAGGCGCATCCTGGGTTGCTTTGAAGAGGCTTAGGGTTTAGGGTTTAGGGTTTAAAACGGTTTTGGGTTTCGAGTTGAGGGTTGCAAGAAACCATGTTGTGTATACTATGTCCATGTATGTTAACAGCAAGCCAGCATCTGCGCGCCCTCCCCCAGAAGGTACTGCACAATTGCCACCTGTTCTGGCTCCGTCTTTGCGTAGTCTTCCTGGGAGTAGGACTTGCAGGCCCAGTGCAGAGCCGCCCCGCCATTTGCCGGGTAGTTGATCTCCGAGTCCGCTGCCACCAAGACCTTGACCACCTCATGGTGCCCATACTTGCATGCCTTGGTAGCTCACCAACCACTGTCTAAGAAGGGTACCTTGTTCTTTTGTTTTTTTTTTTTTTTGGGGGGGGGGGGGGGTTGGGGGGTTGGTTACTTTATAAGGAAGACCTGAAACCAACAAAAAGGGCAAACGGGTACCACTGAATTACCAAGGTGCCAGGATCAAGCCTGTTTCGTTGTATCGGTAGGAGGCAGACCTGGAAGATTTGTCGGTTGCATCGGGCTACATAGGGATTTAGGTCCCACAGATTGGGAGGTTCCCCAGATGCTGACGGACCTTGATAGAGATTGTAACAGGGGGTACTAGAATCCGTATTAAGGACTGTTGGTATAGGGGGCAACATCCCAACCCTAATCCCTAAACCCGAAACCCTAAACCCTAAACCAGCATAAGGGGGAACATCCCAACCCACAGAGCCGTAAAAAATGTATTCCCAAATTAACCTCAAAGACTGGCACCAGAAATCTCGACCAGGTCCATGAACCAACGCGGTCACGGCATCCACCCTGCCATACTTGCCTTGGTTGCCCGCCTGACAATAGGATTTAGGGTTTAGGGTTTAGGGTTTCGGGTTTAGGGTTTAGGGTCAGCCGTGAACCCGAATCATCAAAACGTACTACTGGGAATCTGAGCTGCAAAACGTGCGGAACCTTGAGTGCAGCTCCTGGGTTGCTGGAAGCCACCAAGCCCAAGATGCGCCCATTCATGGAGGAGGTTTGTGGTTTAGGGCTGAGGGCTTAGGGCTTAGGGTTTAGGGTTTAGGGTTTGGGGTTTAGGGTTTAGGGTTTAGGGTTTGGGGTTTGGGGTTTGGGGTTTAGGGTTTAGGGTTTAGGGTTTAGGGTTTAGGGTTTAGGGTTTAGGGTTTAGGGTTTAGGGTTTAGGTTTAGGGTTTAGGGTTTAGGGTTTAGGGTTTAGGGTTTAGGGTTTAGGGTTTAGGGTTTAGGGTTTAGGGTTTAGGGTTTAGGGTTTAGGGGGTGCCAAACTGGAGCGCGCTCTGTGAGCGCACACACAGCAGACTGAAAAAAAAAAAACGCCCAGACCGCCCACTTGAGCCTTTGAGACTTCTGATGCTTATGTATTCTCACCTAACGCTTTAAACTTAAGTTGCCATCATATGGATGCAGAGTCAATCATGTGGGTTCCTTGAACCCTAAACCCTAGACCCTAAACCCCAAACCCGTAGTTGATTTCAACTTCCTTAACAACAACCCAGGCTCGTCGGCCGTGTCCCAAGATTTGCTGAACTTGCTTGGCTTCCCGAGGCCTCGGATCAATTGCAGGCAGGCTAATATTATTCCCTTATGGTCCCTTGATAACTATACTACAATAGCCCACAAAAACCCTATTCTAATTACTAAGGCCCCTAGTTCAATTGTATAAAACAACTCATCGGGTATGATCCGAACCTCCTTTTCGTTCCTCACGTGGGTTATATAGAAGGGCCAGGATTATCTCCTCCTGCAGCTTCTCAGGTAGACCCTGAAACCCAAAATTTTAAACCCTAAACCCTGGGACCCTAAACCCTAAACCCCAAACCCTAAACCCTAAACCCCAAACCCTAAACCCATGCTTCCTATGATCGCTTCAGGGCTGGAAGTTCGGGGCAGGTCTCCGGGTGTAGGGTTCTAGGGTCTTGGAATTTTAGGGTTTCGGGTTTGGGCTTAGGGTTTAGGGTGGCCTAAACAACTACCACGATTTTGCCAAATTCAACGGGCCCTACAAATAATCCGGGCCCTTAATTAACCCCTCTGCTGTCCTGCAGCAGCTATCTTCTCCAGCCACCCGTCCAGGTCGTCCATTCCAGCCAGGAGTTTGGTCATGTCCGCTGCGGCCTCGTGTGAATGAGGCCCACAGGGGGCAGCCAGCGGAGGCGTCGAAGAAGTATCCCACAGGCGCCGAGTTTTGACCTCGCAGAGATGCTAGGGAACGCGTTGCTGCCGCACCCGCCACCGAGACAGCCTAAAGCCTGCAGGTCTTTCTCCCTAGATTGGGATGTTCCCGCATATACTAACAGTCCTTCATAGGGAATATAATAGGGGGTACTGTATACATATATATATATATACATATTCCCTATTACGGACTATTCGTATAAGGGGGAACATCCCAAGCCCTAGACCCCAAAGCCGAAAATCCCACGCGTGGCAAGCCTGCAGAGGTGTCGAAGCAGCATCTGCCTCCGATGGGCGCTGAGTCTTGTCCTCGCCGAGATGCTAGGGAATGGGCACATGGAGGTGGCTTTGGGGATTCGGGCGTAGGACTGTATCTGAACTGCAGGCCCGTCTTGCAAAAGGCGCGAATGTCAGGTATGCTGCGCAGGCACCATTTGGATCAACCGCCACATTCGGCTCCCCCCCCTGCACCTAGGTTGAGGGTTTAGGGTCATCATGCTGCTACTCCCAAAACAGCTAGCAAACACCCGAAGCCCTGAAGTCCAAACTCTACAACTATGTGACTTTGGCCTAAGCCCGAAGCCTTTAACCCAAAGACCTAAGCCCAAAACCCAAATCCTTAAAAACCCCATCCAGCTCCTTACTTGAGGAGTTCATTGTGAGGACCCGGTTATGAGGAGAGACGCACGGAAACATGGTGCCCTCCCTTCCCCCTCCCTTTCTAAGAGTCCCAGGATGGTCCTTTAAACCCTCTCTTAAACCTCTACACCCTAAACCCTAAACCCTAAACCCTCCCCAATAAGGGACAAGAATCCCAAGGGCCTCCGTATCATCACCACCAAAATAGGCTGACAGAGCGCTGACGGCACGGCCAAGGACCAT